TCTGAAAATATCAGAGGAATCATACCATTAACTATATCTGCACCAAATAAATTTACAATACACATGTCCATGTACACATAAACATATATCGTTTAAGAAATTTTCTCATCTGGGTTGACAATGCCCCCTACTAGGGCCAAAGACCATCTAAACAAAAGCCCCCAACACGAGACATGAAAAGCCTTCTTTTGAGCTGTAGGTCAGTGTGGTAATTTGAATGTATTGGCTCAAAGAAAGGAGCGTTTAAGAGGCGTGGCCTTGTTGAAGTAGGCGTGGCCTTGTTGAAGTAGGCGTGGCCTTGTTGGAGGAAGTGTGTCACTGTGGGGGCGGGCTTGGAGGTCTCTCGCTCAAGCTCCACTCTGTGATACTCTGGCCCCTTTCTGTCGCCTGTGGGGCAAGGTCCAGGACTCTCAGCTTCTTCTCCAGCACCACGTCTGCCTGTGCACCACCACGTACCATCACCATAATGGCCTAAACCTCTGAAAAAAATGAAGCCACCCCATTAAATGTTTTCCCTTTCTATGGGTGACAGTGGTCACAGTGTCTCTTCACAGCCATAGAAACCCCCCAACTAAGACAGTCAGGGTTGTCCAAGAGATTTCCCAAACTTTACAGACTATTGCTATTTCCCTTGGTAGTCCCGCTCCCAGAGGTGGAAGGTAAATCCTTGTTGCTGAAGATACCCGGCACTTCAGACACGGGGCCCAGAGGTTCCTGAGCTGGAACTGACCGGGAAGCCTGAGGGCTAGCTTTTATGGTACCAGAAGGCACCATGCAAGCTTCCGAATGAGGGAGGAAACCAATAATCCTACCCAGCTCTATTGAGCATGAATCATATCAATGGCCAGCACGGCATGATAACCTTAAGGGTGCAATAGTGGACACACATGCCTTAGCTGTAACCAACAGCTGTCTAATTAGATGTAAGACCTACTTAACAAGAGGGAAGCCATACCTCTACTGAAAACCTAGCTAACTACCCAGGGCTACTGAAGTCAAGGATACTAGAGATGAAACTATAACTACCAATTACTAAACCAGCATAATACCCAACTTCATTCTAGACTTTTGTCCTTATACCCACAGATGTCCTCACCCCTCACCAAGGAAACTTATCTGTGCAGCAGAGACTATTACAGAAAATCACGACCAACCAAAAATGCAAAACTCCAGCCCCAATGGATACGTCTCCAAAAATCTCCCCTACCTTTGGCTCAGGGAACGTTACAGAAGAGGGGACAGGAAAACCGTACGAGCCAGAGGATTAGGGAGTTTGCTATGAGACTGTGTCGCCTAGCGACATCCGAAGTCTCACCCACGTGACTACCCACACGTGAGCTGAACAAGGACAAGAGTGGAGGGCAGGAGACCCCACAAGGCCTCAACCCTACAGAAAGAACTACCAGCAACTAAGGAACGCTGAGAATGGGAGAAATAGCATCTCCAAGGAAGAACACGCCAACTGGTTATCCAATACCAAATCGTCAGGTCTGAAACCATACATACAAGTAACATTAGAGAGACTGAACAGTAGAGTTAAATAGGAAACAGTAGGATCTGGCTGTAAGGCATGCGTGCTACTACGGCTACTGCGTGCACTATGCCTGTAGTGTACCGCCTGCACTACAGAACAGTTTGTGAGCAGGGCAAGGGGCTGGAGATCGAAACACACACACACAAACACACACACACACACACACATAGACAGAGACATGGGTCGTCCTTGAATTCCCCAAGAATGCCAACTTTATTGTGTCCCAGGGCAGCTTATACGGTGCCTTTCCTGACCAATGGCCACGCCCTAGCTCTCGGGATCCTTCAGCGGCAAGCCCACCAGAAACCACTTCCCTGCCATCAGGGACTGATGAGGGCCTCGTGCTCAGAGCAGCGGCAAGCACAGAAAAACAAGCTGTTTTGCTCAGAGCAGCTGCAAGCATAGAACAACAAGCTGTTTACAGAAAATTCAGGCTCTGGGGGTCCACAGTCCCCAACAAGCGGCTGTCAGTTAAAGGCCACTGTTACGCCTCCTACCCCTTTCCTCTTTGGATGCCCATGCTTGCCCATTCTCCCCCAGAAGTAGGGGGAAAGAGCTCCTTTCACCCCTGGAGGGAAATGGCTAACTGTGCTTAAAGTCTTCTGTCCACTGGGTCTGAGGACCCACGTAAATCAAATCGCTCCTCCATCCTCCCCCTTTCAAATACAGCAGCAGCCCTGCAACTGCAGAAATAAATTGCACTGAAAGTTACAAGCCTGGCACCCATGCCTTTTAAGACCATTTACTGTGGAAGATCTTCTAAGATTAACGGCGTGTGCAAGAATACCAAATATCTCAGTCTACTTTCTCGGCATGTCAATGCAAACCCTAGGCTGTGTTCGCCATCTCTTGAGAGGTTTGAGATGATTGCTTCTTGCTACTCTGTCCTGCCAAGAGATCTGAATGAAAAATTCTCCAAGTCAGAAGTCAACTCTCTGAAATTTTAAGACCCGTCAACAGGACTGACAACAAAATAAAGGAAAAAAGGAAAAGGATAATCAGCCTGAGGATAGGTGAAGAGAGCCTTGCGGTGGCCCACTCCTATAATCTCGGGAACGGGAGGGGAGGGCAAAAGGGATCAGGAATTCAAAGTCATCCTCAGCCACACAGCACTTCCAGGCTACGCTGGGACACACGAGACTCTGTTTGCAACGTACCTGTGCCTGCGTGTGTGTGCATGTGTACGAAGGAGGAAAAGGAGCGGGAAGATGGATAAATTGTGAAGGAGAAAATAGATCCACGAAAACTGGATCAAAACCACGGGTCCCTTGCGGAACAATGAGAACTAATAGAGTATGAATAGTTAGAAAAATGCAGTTTAGGAAAACAATGTCAAAAAAAGTTTCTCAAACTCATCAAAAGCATGAACATAAACTTCATGTATCCCAAGATAACTAAAATGAAAATTGCATCTGTACGGGTCGTAGTCAAACTGATGGAAATCAATATAAAGAGCAAATATAAAGCGGCCAGCAGGGCTGGGGGCAGAGGGCATGCTACACATGGGGCAGCTCCAATGGCACGGAGCATGCGCACACGGGGCAGCGCCAAGGGCAGGGGCAGGCTACACACGGGGTGGCTCCAAGGGCAGGGGGCATGCTACACACAGGGCAGCTCCAAGGGCAGGGGGCATGCAATACTTGGGGCTGCTCCAAGGGCAGGGGGCATGCGCACAAGAGGCAGCGCCAAGGGCAGGGAGCGTGTTGAGCAAGGGCCAGGGCAGGGGGCGTGCTGAGCACGGGCAGCACCATATGCAGGGGACATGCTGTACACAAGGCAGCTCCAAAAGCAGGAGTGACCTATGTGAGGACAATTAAGAGCTTCCTGAAAAAGAGTTAATTTACTTCCCATGTCTGCTTTCCTAGCTCTATCCATGTGTTAATTCACATGTGTAACTCTGACAGGCACTCCTTCCTCTACAAGGTAAAACACAAGAACACTGACATCTTACAGCTTTGGTCCCCTGGCTTTATTTCCTAGTCCTTCCAGATTAGACAGGAAGACGGTAACAGTTCGAATGGAGTAACAAAAAGAGAGGACGGAAAAATATTAGATAATTCGAGTTAATACCGACACAATTCCGGCATCTTAGAGGCTATTACACACATAGATAAAATTAATCTTACACAAGAAATTAAAAACTATTTTCCAAAGAAACATCATATAAAACATCTTAAACCACCATCTTTTATTTGCAATGTCATAGGAAGACTTCTTTGCTATAAAATCTAAAAAGAAAAATTAATAAGAAAAGTAAACACAGAAGTTTTACAGAGCCCAAAGAGAGACTTACATCCCACAAAAACTACAAGCTCTTTTATGGTCATAGTAATAGGAACAAGAACTTTAATTTGTATGCCTTTCTCACTTTGACTATACAGTTAAATACACCCAAGGAAAACAAGCAACTTAAGAGTCTTGCTACCACCCCTTTGGTTAATTTTAGAGGTGGGAGGGGGGAGAAATCTATTAATTCACTAAATTTTTGCTACTTTAGGTTTTTTTCTATCAAGCATGATTAACCAGTCCTAAAAGAATGCAAGTTTCAGTGAGTTTAACGTTCCAACAAAAGTTCAGCAAGGATGTAGGCTCGCCTTGTACCGGGTTCTCTAAGTGGACCAGATGACTCCCAGGACAGAGGGAGCTGGGCTGTGGAGCCCCCTCTGAGCCCCATCCCTCTACAGTGGCAAACTTCCCACACACAGCCCAGCGTACAGGGAGCCCTAGCTGTACGGGCCATCCCGCTACTCATTAAACCACAACCAAAAGGAAGCTTGGCTAGAAACCCACACTGAAAGCAATATCAGATGTCAATCTTAAAGGAATTTCCTTCATTCAGAGACAAAACCTCCCCACTTTGAGTAATATGAGATTTCATCATTGCGTTAGATCTAAATTTTATTTATGATGAATTGGTAGGGTTTGGTTTTTGCATTCCAATAATACTAACTTTTATCTTTTGGAATGTTCCATTCATCACCATCCACCTAGAAATAACAGATCTGACAATGGCTAAACGGAGCTGGGGCTGTTTCACCAAAACAAGTAGCTACTATTTCCCAGGCATGCAAAAATACCCCCCCAACGACAGATTGTCTTAAGGGGAAGTCAACCTTTAGAAAACACACTGTTTTCATATCAACTTAACAGTGTCCACAGCTGTCAGTAACCTCCCTCTTTCCGAGACATGATATGTCTCAAGGGTGACGAGAGACTAAAGACAATACTCCGGAGCTTGTGGAGTCTGACATTTAATTTGGTAGAAATAGTCACCACACGGCGCATATAAGGAAAGACACAGTTGCCTCTCCTCCCAAGGAAGAAAGCAAGCTTCCAGAATCTGCTTTGTCTATTTGCGTCGGAAAAACTTTTTTTTTTCTTTTTATGTCAAGGAGAACACACAGAACGTTTCGATTTCAGAGCAAAACTCTAGGGCGGGCCACGTACAAGGCTTTGCTGGACTCACCTATGTGATAGAGCCCAATCCAGTCGCTGGGGTCCACCTCCTCTTTAATGTCCCAGAAGATAATCAGGTTCTGGGCTTGCCCCAGGGTATATTCATACATGCTGGCCGTCAGGCTGGAGCGGCTCTCGGAAGTCACCAGGTCTGTGTCGCTGTTGGCTCGCTGCAGGGCCATGTTCTCGGGCATGGAGTTCTGGGCTGCGAGGCTCTGGAGGTTCTCTGGGCTCAGCGTGTACCGCATCTGTGGGTTTCGACGCCGTACGAAAAGCAGATGTTCCCGGGCTGAGCTAGCCATGCTGTCTGCCTCTCCGAGGTGGCTTTCCTACAATGCTGCAAGAGACAGGCAAGCATACGATATTAGGGCTAGCAAGGCAAGGGATCAGGATTAAGCATCCCAGACACGAAGCCTGTAGGAGAGTTTATCAATACCCCAGCAAGCAATAATCTTCTGTGGAAATAACCTGTCACCTGACGATATCAGATAACTCCGACAGACAGAAGAAGTTGCATGATGGTCAGGCGGTCACACACCTGTGGCCCCCAGTTTCCCTTGGCACAGCTTCTCCAGAAACTGAGGAAGGAGGATTTTTCTAGCATCTCTTTAAGATCTGTGCATCCACACATAGTCCAGCATCCTCTTTCCCGTTTCTGTCCCACACGTGTTATTTATCTCCCTCTTTAAAGGACTAAATCTTTAACCAGCAAGATCCGTGCTAAATACAGTTGATAGATGGTACCAAGGTCACGCACACTGCTTTCGGTCCCCGAAGCTTGCCACGAAGAAGGCAGCTCACTGAAGCCGTTCTCGGGAGCACGATCAAATGTCTCCTCTGCATTTAAATACAGAGGAGGAGGTGTTCTCTGCAGAATGGGAACATCCTGGAAGTACCTCTTTATGTTTCTCTAAGATCTGACTTGCCTCATGCTAACTCACCTGGCCATTGTCTATCTCCCAGATCAAGAACTTAAGTTTCACAAAAGCAGTGATTTTTCACGTTTTATCACTATTTAATTCCCGGTATCTACAATGGCGTTGGGAGGACAGCGGGTGGGACCCACTGTTACCTGAACAGGTGAAGAGTGGTGAGCATCTTTATCCTAGAGACTCCATGGCATGACTTAAATCTCCGAGCCTGCTTCTGTTCATCTTGATGTGCCCAGAGGCGCAAGGCATCCCTACGGCCTGGATCATGAGGGTTTTCCTCTGACTACCATTTGGTCTCCAACAAGGAATGGACTTCCCTGTTAGGCCTGGCGTCCAGCCTCATGTGCCCACTGGGACTCTCCTCCTACAGGATGGCCAACTGCTTAGGAGACCCTGTGTAAGATTTCTGTCCTTTTGCCTGGTACCTGTGAGGTTGTCCACTTACCCACCCCTGCCTGTGGGTTCATGTTACGTCACCCAGATCCTACTGGCTTTATGTAGAGTGAATTTGCTTCTCTTGGGTGCCCCTTTAAATAATAAACCTTTTAATAATAAACCACTCGTATGTTTCATTCTGTACCGTCCGTCTTTGCTGGAATCTTTTATATAAAATATTTCATTTAAAGCTAACCTACTGACTCCTGAAAAATTAGCACGAAATTCTGACTTCAAAGCAAACCAGCTACTCTCTGGTGTTATACCGTGCGATAGCCACCAACCTTCGATACCAAGTCTGTGAGGAGAGAAACTGGGAGAAAGGGCTCCCTATATTTTCCATTTCCCTATCCGTTCCGTACTTTTGGTGAGATGCCTGTTCTGGTTTGCTTTCTATTATGATGACAAACGCCACGGCAGAAAGCAAGGAGTGAAGGGGAGGGTTTGTTTCAGCTTCCAGGCTTCGATCCATCACCCAAGGGAAGCCAGGGCTGAAACCCAAGCAGGAATGTGGAGGAAACTGAGCGAATCAGGGACCAGGGAGAATGCGGGCTGCTAGCTGGCTCCCTTGCTCTTGTCGAACTACATATTCATACAACCCAGGCCCACTGTTCACAGTGTGATTGGCTGGCTCTCCTCCATCAGTTAGCAACCGAGAATATGCCCCCCAGACATGCCCAGAGGCCAGTTAGACAACAGCAGTTTTTCAGTTGTGGTTCCCGTCCTGGCTGGTTTTATGTTAACTTCACCTAAGTTGGAGTCATCCGAAAGGAGGGAACCTCAGCTGAGAAAATGCCTCCAGAAGATCCAGATGTAAGACATTTTCTCAGGGATTGATGGGGGAGGGCCCAAGCCACTGTGGACAGGGCCATCCTGGGCTGTGGTCCCAGATTCTCTAAGAAAGCAAGTTAAGCAGGCCATGAGGAACAAGCTAGTGAACAGCCCCCCTCCAAGGCCTTTGCATCCGTTCCTGCCTCGGGGTTCCAGCCCTGCTTGAGTTCCTGTTCTGAATTCTTCCAATGATAGACTATGATCTGGACCACATGTCAAATAAACCCTTTCCTCCCCAACTTGCTTTTGGCCAGGGTGTTTCCTAGCAACCACAGAAACTCTTACTAAGATAGTTCTCTCTACCCAGATGTGTCAAGTTGACAGCCGAGATTAGCCACCCCAGAGTTCACGTTTCCATGAATACACCTACTGTACTTGTAAATGTATCTAGGCGATTTCTGCCATGAAGTTGATCTCATGGTTTTAGCGCTATTCCTTGAATCAAAATAACTTGGCAGTGAGATGGCTCAACCAATATATAAATATAAAGTAACTTGGGTTGGTAGGCAGAAAACCCTACATGGAAAGAGCAAAAATAAAAACAGACAAGCTGGTTTCTTCAGGGTAATGGCGTTAAGTCCCCCTGCTTGTTCACGTAGACCCTTCACACTGAGTGGTGTAAGCAGAAACACTGCACTAAGATATGTCCCATGACTGCTGGACACTCTCTGACTTATGAAGCCTAAAACACGGGCCAGCGGCTTGATTCTTTCATACCAGGGGATTTCCGTAAGCCATGATTTCTTTATGAACTCCGTGAGTCAAGTGCCACACCAGTTCCCGCAAGCTATAAATAATTAACTCCTAACACAAGGCAGGCAGACAGCAAAGGCACTGTCCATAATGAAGCTACTTTCCTGAGAGAAACAGGCCAGAGCCTTCACAGCTTAAAACACAACAGACCAACTATGGAAATTATTCTGCTCTAGAAACAAAGGAAAAGACCAAAGCACTCAATTGAATTTGTGTGTTTTAGCATGGTCTATATTTAAACAGAGAAGTGCGTTAGCATTGTGCGTAAGGGAATGAGGTCCAAAGCCCATGCAAGTATTTCTGGTCAAGTCTCTACCATTCACCCTGCAATCACTGACATCTTGTTTCAATGTCTTCTTCTTCTGTTTTTCTATTGTCATTAATCTCTATACCCAGGACTTTGGAGAAAACTAAATTAGTTATTGTAGAAAAAACAAATTTAAAACAATGTCTAGCATAAACTAAGTGTTCAATTAAGTCTAGCCATGAATATTATCCCATTAGTTCATTCTACTTTAATTTCACCAAGCAGAACTGGTTTGCACAGTCCCACGCTCCCCCCATGCTCTATCCCCAACCCTTGTCTATTTCTTATGGGAGCGCAGGCTGTCAGTATCCTCACCCACCCAAAGCACAGCACCATTCCAAAACAGAACAACCCTGTAGCACAAAGAAGCTCAACTCCCAAGAAACCCGGCTGGGCTCATGCCCCAGGCAAGTGCTGTTCTCCAGTGCTGAAGTCGGCCATGAAGGCTAAGACCTGACTTTGTGACCACCAGAGGATACACATGGAGCACCTCCCATGTATGATGGAGGAAGGTCATTGGCTAATAAAGGAACTGCCTTGGCCCATTTTATTGGTTAGAGGATAGGTGGGAGGAGTAAACAGAACAGAACACTGGGAGGAAGAGGAAGTGAGCTCAGAGACTCGACAGCTCTCCTCTCGGGAGCAGACGCCTGAGAGAGACGCCATGCCCCGCTCCCAGGATGAAGCTCCGACCCAGGATGGACATAGGCTAGAATCTTCCCGGTAAGCGCACCTTGGGGTGCTACACACAGATGATTAGAAATGGGCTAAATTAATATGTGAGAATTAGCCTAGAAGAGAATGGGCCAAGCAGTGTTTGAAAGAATACAGTGTCCGTGTAATTATTTTGGGTAAAGCTAGCCGTAGGGGCGGCCGGATGCTGGGGATGCAGCCCCGCCGTCCCTATTATGATGGAGGAAGGTCATTGGCTAATAAAGGAACTGCCTTGGCCCATTTTATTGGTTAGAGGATAGGTGGGAGGAGTAAACAGAACAGAACGCTGGGAGGAAGAGGAAGTGAGCTCAGAGACTCGACAGCTCTCCTCTCGGGAGCAGACGCCTGAGAGAGACGCCATGCCCCGCTCCCGGGATGAAGCTCCGACCCAGGATGGACATAGGCTAGAATCTTCCCGGTAAGCACACCTTGGGGTGCTACACACAGATGATTAGAAATGGGCTAAATTAATATGTGAGAATTAGCCTAGAAGAGAATGGGCCAAGCAGTGTTTAAATGAATACAGTTTGTGTGTTGTTATTTTGGGCATAAGCTAGCCGAGCAGGCGGCTGGGGTGTTGGGGACGCAGCCCCGCCGCTCCAATTATTACACATGTAGAAGAACAAAAGAAGACACAAAGAACAAAAGACAAGTGTCCCACCCATGGGACTACACTGGACCAAGAAAAGACATAAAATAAGAAATCAAAACCTGAACGCATTACATATATCTCAGTTGAAAAGTAAAAAGGCCTGGAGATACGTGAATTGACCACCTTAATAGAATTAATTAATTAATTAATGGCATCGGCAGACATATATGGAGCATGTGTTATTATGTACTTAGTATCAGGCCAGAGAGGATACTAAACAATAAAACCTAAGGGATCATCTTTTCATTTCATCTCCTTCCTACCGCATATGGTATGGCTCTCACCCTCTAAGAACTTGAGATTTTTGACAAGACCAAAAGCTCATATATGAAAGAATTCAATATGCTACCGATGTCGCTTCACACGCACAATCTGTCCCGACAAACGTGTAAAAAGGACAGCCTGGTGTCTGTAAAGTTCTGTATGCTGCCCAGAATGCTGTGATAGCCGCAATCCAAACACAGTGAGACCCCCCGGAATGCTGGGGATTAGGCGCAAAAGCATCTGTGATGCTCACAGCTGATCTCTGGGGGCAGGGCAGGCCCATGGTCTTCACAGCTGACCTCTGGGGGAGGAGGGCAGGCCGGTGATCTCACAGCTGACCTCTGGGGGCAAGGCAGGCCCATGGTCTTCACAGCTGACCTCTGGGGGAGGAGGGCAGGCCGGTGATCTCACAGCTGACCTCTGGGGGCGGGGCAGGCCAGGTGATCTCA